GCACACCCCGGGGCTGCTCTGATGACAGCCATGCTGGATGGTTCACACATGATCCAAAATTGCTGCAGCACACAACACCCTGTCCTGTGACCCGCCAGCACCAGCCGCCCTTTTGATCTGATGACATGGTGTAAAATTGGAGATGCCCACCGCAGTCACACATGCCAAACATGCAGTTTGTATGACAGGCAGGCATGGACGCCGAGAATATTGAATTAGTAGATGTCGTGTAAATCTGCAGTGTAGCTGCATGGCTTTCGACTTACCAGACAGACCAAGTGAGCAGTTATCAATCAGCGTTTTGTAACGGATACTCTTTGAAGTGTTCGAATTTTGCCCTTCAGCGAACGTGCAGGAACAGGAATCATAAGGTTAATAAAAGCATGTTTTTACAAAAGCACCCACAAACTGATGAGTCTGCAAGTGAAGAGCAGCAGCCACATCTGCTAGATCACTTAAAATCAGTTAAGAAGCTCAAGGTGCTGCTGTAGATAACAAACACTGATAACTGTGACCAGAACCTTTAACCTTAAAGACATAGATCTTGACATGCCTATTAGCCACCATATCCACTTTCACTGGCTTTAACCTAAGGCCATCCAAACCCATATTTAATATATATGACTGCAGTGTGCAGCCTGACCGCATGGCACTTTGTTTGTGGCCGAGAATCGTGTCATAATAATACGCCTTTGGACTCTTTTTGTCCGTTCAAAAATATAATGGAATGGCCAGATGTGGAGGGTGACCCCATGTTGACCCGTAGTGGAGTCTATAGTGTTTGTGTTGTGCAACCTAGCAGGCAGCCACAGGGAAGTGGTGAGTTTAATGGTTCTGTATTATATTGCAGTAGAAGAAAAAAAATCTGTAGCAATATAATAAATTTATCCCTCATAAGGTAGACTTAAATTTAGAGGTGATTTTTTTGAGATTCGGGAAACAAGCTTACCTTTGTGTTGAGCAGTCTGTTATTTTGTCTGTAGTACAGACCACAGAGTGAAAGGCTTTATCTGTTAAAGCCCAGGCTACTCTGTATTACACAAATCAGTCTCTGCATCTGCTCAGTCCATCAGGTCTGATGCCGCTGACAGCCTCCAAACAGCCCATGATCAGGCTCCAGCTTCGGTGACTTTGCAACCTCCTGCTGGCTCACCAGAAGGTCTCTGTTTTGATTGTTTGATTACCCTCACTGGGATGACCCTTAAAGTTAACATCCCTACCATTAGGTACACAAGTAAGCATGGCTGCAAGCATGCTCCATGACTCTGGGTAAACATGTTGGCAGACTGGAGGAATGTGAAGTGACCTGGCTGTGTGTCCACTGTCATGGCCAGAAAATATATAGATAACAATGTTTAAAGAGTACTATTGAACAGAAGAACATGTTGCAATACTGCTGTTTGCAGATATTAGCGTGCTGAGACCCCTTTTATATGAGTGTGCTAAGAAAAAGGCTCTTTACAGAATACATTTGTTTCATATGCACAGAGGGCCCGAGTAAGCCACCAGTGATGGATGCTCTACTAAATCCCACTACACAGAATCTATCTTCACTTTTTGTGATGCCTCCAAATGGAAACTTGAAATTAGTTTAGCAGAAGCGTGACTGGTTTCTCCATCTCAAAGCTGAGCCCTGAATTGCAGGGCTTATGTTTCAAGAAGTGAGGATGAAAATGCAAATCAATACAGTTTTTTTTTTTTGTTGTTGTTGCTGTTTTTGAATTCAGCGATCAGACTTGCGTGGAAGTAAATACACAGAACAATGGCACAAAGAAATGTATGTCTGCATCTTGTGCGTCAGACGTTTTGAAAAACTCTTTAGCTTAAATGATTAGCACAGTTTATCTTAGCTTTCTGGATCTATGCACAACAACAGCAACATCGCCAGGCTTATCTACCCGTACATATCCATCACAGTTTTGACAGTCAGTTTTGGTTTATTATGGTTGCTCAGACTTCTTAAGGGATCAGACCTCTGCCCTCAGACAAACACTCCTTGGGAGCATGCTTGCACTCATGTGGGCTGGGGGTCCTTCAGGGCCATCATGCTCCCTGGGGTGTCTGCTTGTGAGAGAGCCTGTTATTCCGAGAACATCCTGCAAGCCCTCCCACCCTCCCGTAGAGTCGGCAACGAAGAAGAAAAAGAGCTGGGAAAGCCCCGGTACAGAGGACAATTTGTGGTTTGAAGCTGGGACACTGCTGTTTAGGTAAACACTGCAGCATGGGTGGAGAGCTACATTATTATTATTACAGCAAAAACAAAAGTAAAAACTGTAATTGAGGGAAATATTTGTTTTTCCATAGCAAAGCTTCAGAAGAACAGCTGCTCAGTCTGCTAATCATTAAATGACAGGACCACTTACATGGCTGAGCTCACATTAACCACTTTTATTTTTCACATCATCACCATATGTCCCACAATCACTAGAGCACTGAGAAAAAAAGCATGTACTGCGACATTATGTTAATAGTGACTCCTCTGTCACGGCACTCAGCTAGCAGACGGTGAAGGGGGTGGGGGGGCTGACTGATTCCCACACAGAAGAGCTGTCAGCTTCTCAAGCAGAAATAAGGACAAATGCAAATGAATCAGCTGAGAAGCACACTTGTTGTGTATTTTTCTGAATCTCAGACACACTGAGCATCTTTGGGCCTTAAAAGTACAAAATAATGAGGTCATATTGTGGCTGCAGCATTATGCAAGTGTGATTTTACATATCCAAGAGATATGATTTGAAAAAAATCAATGTAATGTATTTTATTTATTATCATTATTAATTCATGCATTAATTTTACATTTAATTACATTATGGTTTGTTTTGATTTGTTTGTTTGTTTTTTTAAGTATAACTAATACCATTATGTTTAATTGTACATACATACAGATTAAATTCAAACTGAATTTCTGTTATTGCTGCTGCCCACCTGCAGTACCTTAAGGGCCCAACAGGAGGCCCTGAATCACACCTTTGGAATCACTGAAATAGACATTAATGTTATTCAACAGTAATCCAATATTATTTTATATATTATTATGTAACTCTTCTTTCTGTGAGAGATGAAAATGCATATTTTATGCATATTCATAATTCATTTGTACTTTTCTTTGTTTTATTTTTTTTTCCACTGTTGCCACTTTTACTTTGTTGTTTATTTATTGTATTGTACTATTTTGTGAGATCAATAAAGTATATTCTATCTATTGTTTTCTTCTTATTATTATATTTTATTATTTAAAAATTCCATTAACATAATTTTTATTTACAAAGCAAGTATTGTCATTTGTCTCATGAATGATTGCAATCGGACAAAATCTGATGGCTGATCCATTTACCACATATGTTAGAGTCAAGAGTGAATAGATTCAAACAGCTATCTATTGCCCCCTGCTGGTGATAATAGGGAGATTAGGAACAGGTTAATGCATTTTGATTGCTTAAAATATAATTATGAATACATGCTACAGCATGACCCAGTGTTTGAGTGAGACACTATGTGTTTTATTTTGTTTGTTTTTTGTGCACAAAACTAATTGTTTTTTTAGACTCTCAAGACTCTCATGTGGAAAAGTGAGGTTGAAGAGGTTCATTTGCATCTTCCATCTCATTGGTCCAGTAGTCATTTCATAATCTCTTTTGTGCTTTTAGTGCCATGTCTAGCAACTGCATGGATTTAATGATTTTTACAGACTAATTAAAAAAAAAAAATACTTATAAAGCTAAATGTCCCATCATTGCCATGCTGCTTTAACTAGACTTCAGTTAGGAAATAACTCTTTCAGCCTTAGGACACTCGAGTTATTGAAGGTAGAATGATTTACAATTTATCACTAAAAGCATTTGCAGGCTACTAGAAACACCTGCCAGCTGCAGTAATGTACCTTGTAGGGACAATATCTAGGATTTATTTTATTAAAACAGTAGAGCAGCCACCCTGAGAAAGACCAATAAAGCTGGTAAGTGAACTAAAGCACCAAATACGAAAATATAAATTCAACTTTATCTACTCAACTTCAACTATATTTAAACCTTCCAAAGCCTCACCTTGTTTGCATTATTTTGTCTTTTTGTAGTTTTGAGAAAAACAAAGTACACTCTCTTTCATTTCTAAGGTTTAATTTATGAAGATGTAAAAGAAATGTTTTCTGTAGCAGGGCTTAAATGACCTCAAACTATAGTCCAAATGAACTACAAAACATATTACACCATGCGATTAATAATCTGTTCTATTTTATATCCCACTCTTGGCGGTTTGCTGCAGCATTCAGGTGTTAAAACAATGTTAAGGAGATAAATTGTTAACAATCTGGGAGCAATTGTTCCTCGGACTTGGGAACAATGCTCTTTAAATCTTGTAGAGCCAAATGTGAGGCCATCTGTTTGACCGATAAAGCTTGGTTCAAACCTGGTCATGCAAAAGTATAATGATCCCAAGCACAGCAACAAACTTACAATAGCTGAAAAGACAAGAATCAAGATGTTGTATTAGCCAAGTCCACACGATTAAAATGCTGTGCAGAGCAACCCTCACTAAAGCAGTAAGAAAGTGGGCCCAAACTCGTCCCCAATAAAAAAGACTGATAGTCTTTGTATGCAGTCACTGCAGTTCATTGTGCTGTTTTTAAAGGTGAACCATTTAGAAACACGCGGTTGAATCTTGATGTATTTTCACTCACTGCTTCTGCATTTTTCTTGTTTTTGCTCACTCACAGTATGTTATTTGTTGCTGCTCATCCAGGCTTGTATTTAAATAATTCTAGAACCAGAACTTCTTTGTGCCCTGATAAATTTTAGAATTGAAAGAGTGTACCTTATTATGACTGTAATTCCAGATTTTATAGACTTTTAGACCAGGAAGCAGAGTACCCAAAATTAAAATACTTAATTTTCATACGAGTACTTCATAAATGCATCAATAATATTGTTACAGTGACCAGTAACACATAGAGTGCTGTCTCTTTATTTTTCTCAAACTACTGAAAATAAAGCCACACAAAAATGTTTTATATTTCAGTCTGTTCCAGGAAATTTAGCCAAGATTTTCTTTATTTCAAAATGAGACAAATCAGCCGACGGCAGACATCTCGTTCAAAGTCACATCTAAAACTTCTGGAACTGCTTCTTGGCTCCAGCGGCCTTTGTCACTTTGAGGACGTTAAATCTCACTGTCTTGCTGAGGGGTCGGCACTCCCCGACAGTCACAATGTCTCCAACTGTGACGTCTCTGCAGAAGACAAAACAAAGAAACAAAGGGGAATTTAAGATGGGTATGCATGTCCAAAAATAAGTTGACAGAAAATGTTGTCATACTGAAGCAAAGCTGCATCAGTTTTTGCCAAAGGCAGTGTCGTCAGAGCTTCCTGAGCTTGGAAGACCATCGTGAGAAAAAACATCATATGCAGCAAAATAAGATGCTTTGAAGGAACACAGTTATTAAGTAAAAGGTTATTTAACAAAACATAATATGTGAGGTGCTGTACCTAAAGCAAGGTGACAGATGGACCGAGAGGTTCTTGTGCCTCTTCTCAAAGCGGTTGTACTTGCGGATGTAATGCAGGTAGTCACGTCTGATGACAATGGTCCTCTGCATCTTCATTTTGGTCACCACACCTTCAGACAGACAATGGACAGCATTTTGTGTTATACCACTTTCTATAGTCATAAAATGGCACTGGATAGATTTAGAAAACT